TATATGAATTAAAAGACAATTCGACAAATAGACGAATTGGTCAATTTCATATAAAGGATTTACTCCCTGATAACACAACAGATGAGGCAACATCTTCATCTTCAGAGGAAGATTAACTTAATGTCTATTAAGTTAACTTATTCCTATGATTGTTATTGTTTTGGCTCGGTTTGGTTACGATTTGATATTTTCTTAAATTTTGTTATTAATCACCAGATTTGGAATATCTACAGCTTATAATTTGATTAGTATTTGTTTATAATAAGTTAAAATTATTAAAGCCATTAGAGATTTTTACTTATATTAGGTGTTGCACTGGTATGGAACTAAATATTGTAATGCTACTATACTGTGCTATATGTTTATGTGTTGTATCACTTTCTTCCCATTTTACTTACTTGTTTTGCCAGTTGGAAAGAATGTTGTATTTTTTTTTTACGGATTTGATTCAGTTTATTGGTCATAATCAAGTTATATAGTAACATGTATCTGGATTTGCTATGTGGGATGTTTTTAAATCAGTCATTAGGAATTTATATAGATAATCAGTATACATGATTTTAGTACACTCCTATATTATATAGACTATTCTGCCTGTGTATAGGTGAATGAATATGTGGGTTCGAAGTTTTAGTTCAATTAGAGGCCTCAGTTGTTCTATGAATTTCGGAATTCACCATTTTCATGACAAGCTGTACAGTTATCTAGGCAGTAGAATGTCTTCCATAGATAGTAAATTATTGTTAATGTTAATTAGGATTTGAATATTTAACGTTAATCCTTAATATTTTCAGACTTTGGTCTAATAACTGAATTGTTCCTTAGCTGATTTATTAATTTTATTTATATAGTTTATTGGAGGGAGCAATCCATGACATATTCCCTTTACAGCTAGCATGTTTAGATTACAGTTATGGATAGTATTTCATATTTTGACAACAAATGACCATTTATAGTTATTTTCACTTCTTTCCTTAGGCACTTGTCTATATTTTGGTATATTGAACAAGGAATTAACCTGTTCTCTTTTATTGATATCAGAACGAATTATAAATTTGCAGTTTCTTCAGAAATTGGTCTACTCGTTCTTGATGTTCTGTTTTGTTATTACTTCTACCTTAACTCTTACTGTTTTGCTACGGTTGTTAGAGTTTACTGTCAAATTAAACTCCTTTTAGTGATCTTATGTTAGATATTCTTATAAATTTGTTGTAGCTACCTGCTATAGTTATCGAATATCAGCACAAGTTAATTTTGTTGTAAGAAGTTACCACAGCAGTTCACACGCTTTGGTACTCTACCTTTTGAGCTTAAGTTGTTCAGCTTTGCATTTGCTAGGATGATTGAGTTTATAAACCTCCTAGTTTTTATTTTTGGTCTTTACTTTGGATCCTAAATGTACTGATGGCATATCATCAGGATGGAATCGATTTTATGGCTGTCCTTTTGTTCAGGCCGTTAGTCCCACATTTTGATCCAATAATTTATTTGGTGAATTTTTAGGTTAGGCACATATTACCGGATGTGGGTATATGTGGACCTACCCTTTTTGGTTTATTTGGTTATAGTGTGAATTGGGTCATTATTTGCCTGATTGATTATCTTTGGATATGCTACTTTATAAATCTGTTGTCCACTGTATGGTCAATTTTGGATTTACCATCCAATTCGACACTTATATTGTTTTATATACATTTGGTATTTTTATTGTTACGTATATTGTTTTATATACGTTTAGTATTTTTATTGTTACTTATTATTGTGTATCGGTCCACCTATTTGCCTGATTGATTATTCCTTGGATATGCTCTCCTATAAATCTGTTGTCCATCGATGAGTCAATTTTGGAACCAGGGTCCGATTTCACATTATTTTGGATTATTTGTATTGAGCATTTGTATTACTAGTCTATACTATGCTATGTTAGAGTCTTACTTTACTTTAATTTTACTCTAAATAGTATGTGTAGTATGGGTATCTTTAGATGAAACCATTTCTTTATTCCTACATCACTCATAATCTGTGGTTAATTATAATCGTGTGAATCGATGTAGATTGTTTTGGAAGTATTTTAGTGAGTTAATTTGATAGCTGTATTTGGCAAATTGGTGCCATGGCTATAATTTTTATATATGTTTATATTTTTTTTCTCGATTCTTGATTGCTCTACATATGGTTGAAGTATTGGCTAACCTACATCTAATCAATCAGTCAAGTAAAAGAAAAAAAACAATTTTTTCACTTAAAAATTTTTTTTCTCCAAGTAAGAGGGGAATGTAACGAGTCCGTTACTTAAATACCCATTTACTGCTTTGTCACTGGAATCCTTTAATTTAATTACAAATTAAATTCATTTCTAAATATTCTTAAACCAAACATTTGAATAACTTCGGTAAATTTTATTTTTAAAAGTTGGCATTAAATCCCGCCCTCTGTCTAAGACTCTGAAAATACATTGTCGTGACCGCCGAAGTGCCATGAGACCGGCACTTGGTCTTGGAATCGTGAAGTGAGCAGACGTGTTCAGAGGCGGCTGTGGGGGCCATCTTTATTCCATGAGTTTGGTTTAATTTTTTTATTTTTTGGAAAATCAGTTGTGTTGGAAGAAGCCTTTTTGTTATTTTGTTCTTTTGGGAAAATACTTTAAGTTTGGACCACAGCCGGTGAGTTTTAAATTATAAATAAATTATATATAAAAACATGTCACATCATCCGCCATTGTTGGTGAAATTTAAATCTATTTCTTTAATCCTCTTTCAAAATACATTCTGGTCTATTTAACTATTCCATTTATTTCCTAAATACCTCAACAGATTACAAGTAATAAATTTTTATAATTTTATTTCTTTACAAGTTTTTCACAATTTCTTTACTATTATAATTCCATACCGTTTAAACCGGCTAATACTTTTTTTCGATTCTATAATCTATATACCAGGCGTTCCTTAAAATTACCTGGTTAATATATCCAAACATTTTCATACAGTCCCAAGGTTATTTTTTTTCAAAGAAACACATTATAGTTTTTGCTTCAATTTGAAACAACGTGTTGACATTTCTTGGTTTTTCTTTACTTTCTTGTATGAACAAAGGACTTTGTAGTAACACAACTGTGTTTTTTTAGCCTAGTTACGGATTCCAGGACAAGTCGGGGAGGGAAGAAACACTTTTAATTTAAATTTATGGGGATTTAAACACAGGGAAGAATTCTATGGTTTTAGTTTAAAGAGTCAAAAGTCTCAGTACCTTTTATTGGAGTCCAGTTTTGGACCTCTACCCACCTGCATCTAGTTCTTTATCCGGACCACCTCCCAGGTCCACCGAGAAGGAAACCGGCAGGAAAAACTAGTTTTATTTTTTGTTGTTTTCATTTAATATTTGTAATAATACCTTTTAACTTCCTCTTCAAGGCTTTAACTTTTTATTAATAATAATCATATTCATTTTTTTAAATACTAGTGTAAATTTGTAATAATACCTTTTAACTTCCTCTTCAAGGCTTTAACTTTTTATTAATAACAATCATTTATTATTCATCAAGGGTTGAGATTGTAACTCCCCTGGAATCTCTCGTTATCAGGTTATAGTGTGCACACATATCCGGAGAGGTTTTATTTCATTTATTCGATAATTGTAACATTTATATTATTATATATTTCATTTTATATTATATTTATATAACTATTGCATAACCTTAGTCAACATTTCACATAAATAGGTACATTTGGGAAAGGGGAAACTGTTTTATCATTGTATTTAGGGTTTTACTGTAAATATAGATTAGTTAATTGTACATAAGAGGTGTTGGGTTATATTGTTAAATATAAGGGGTTAAATAGTCTGTACATAAAATTGGTGTTTATTAAAGTTGGGTTAAAACAATTCAATATTTCACTTGGTACCTATCCTTTAATATTTCAGCAATACAAGATATCTCGGAAGAAACCATTTAACTTCCTGGCGCCCAAATATTCATTAGAGCAACTTTATCTTTCTTCTGTTTATTTCTTGGTAGTTTCTAGTCATTAATTCTTACATCTTACGGTCTCTGTAGGGCATGCAAATTGGCCGAATCCCTCTTTGATTGTCAAGTGGTCTTTCTCCTGCATAGTCGCTAGCCAGCATTAATTTTATTATATTTTAAAATTCATATTTAACCTTTATTTATTTCTTTCACATAATTTATTTCTGTCTAATCCCTTTCATCTTCTGTTATTCCACATATTAGTTCGTTGGTGTATCAAGGTACATTTTAGAGTTTACCCTATTGCTACACTACACATTCTTGTTATATTGGCGCTCCAGCCAGCCCATTTTTGTTACAAAACACGGTACACTCTAACAGAAATAATCTAACCACCACTATTTAAATTGACAAAATCTTCTAGTTTACTCCGAAGTATTTTTTAACAAAAATTAAAAGTGATATTTTAGTAGTTTGTATATCTACTCTGAATATAAATTATCCTTAGCACGGTAGTATGTGTTTCAGAAAAGATTTATTTAAACAAGTAGGTGAAAGAACATTATGCAAGAATACTATTTATTAAAAAAATGTATCAAAATATGCAAAATTATGAACAACGGGTTAATGCGATATATATTTATTTTCTACCTAAAATTTAGCAAAGTGTTCTTCTGGAGAATACCAGTGCAGTTATCGTGCCTTCCGTCAATCCATAATTTCCGTTAATCGTTTAGAGGTGTATGTTGGTGAATATACTGTATAATGAAGTTATATCAAAAATTCTGTACGGATTAATACTCGAAAAATTGGATATTGATTTATCCAGCAGCTTATCCATAACCAAATAAATGGTTGAAAAAGTTCATTTCTGAAAGTGTTTAAAATATATATTTAAGTGAATTCTCTCACGTGAATCAAATTGTATTGAATGAACTAAATTTATGTAATATATTTTTTAAAGTAGTGAAGAATAAATCCAAGTTAAGAAATTTAAACCTAAATGTATGACACGAATTGATACTAATTTAACGTTATGTTGATACTTTATTCTAAGTATTTAATTTAAAACACTACCTAATTGTAAAATGTGTTAAAGCTTTCTCTGCTTTCGTGGTCTAGGTCCAGTCCATGACACTCTTGTACTATCTGTAATTGAAACTATGTCTAAACCTGACATCTGTAGTCCTTTTATTGCAGCCTAAAATGAATAATTTGTAATTAGAATGCATGATTTATTACAGAACTTTTTACCATTCGACCAGGTCCCAGTCCTCTTACTCTTACTCTGACTATCTTGTATCCTTGATCTAGCGCTTTCTACAAAACATAATAATTTTATATTTACGTACATATATGTACATGACAAAATTATGGTGAATAGAATTAGTGAAACTAATTTTGAGAAATATAGTACTAAGGGGCGTTCAAGTATTACGTCATGCAATTTTTAAAGATTTTTTACCCTCCCTCTCCCCATGTAACGCACCGTAACGTTTTACAAGATCCCCTCCCCCTACCTAAACGTTATCTAACACACAAGTGATCATTTTTACCTAAAAGTAACAATTATGTTGCGCAAAGTACCAGAAAATCGGTGAAATAACTTGTTATTGTTTTAATCGCATTTGCGGTAATAATAATGCGCGATTTTTTGTATTGTAATAAAAAAAATTAGTTGCATTAAGGTATAAACTTATGCCTAAAAATAGTAAAAAAATGTAAAAATTTGTTTTACAAAACAATTTTTAATAGATTATTAATAAGCATAATCTGTTATAATAACTAAATATCTAAGTTGAATGGAACTTATGAAAACAATTATTATTTTTATTTAGGCAAAGATAGTCCATATTTTGAATATTGAATTCGAAAACGAAGTACACTTTGGCATCTTGCATCTTTGTCTTGTGTCTTTATACAATGACCAGTGTGAGTGACCATCAAGCCTTACGTCTCTTGGAGGAATATACGTTGTTGTTGCTGACCTTTTCTTTTTTTTTCTATTTATTTTTAAAGATCTGATGGCCTTTCTTCAGTAAACGAATACTTCCAATGCTGCATAAGCAATATGCCACTTTTATTTTATTTTTATTTTATAATTTTAATTTTGTAGCGTCCAATAAGGCTGTCCTTGAGGTCCACCTCTTCGATATGTTGGTTATACTCCTGAACCAACTTAGGACATTCAACGTTGATTTTTTGCATTCTTTTACTATCAAACCTTTCAACGTTTCCTTTCGGCAATTCTTCAGCATATGGTGACAACAAACAAACAGTCTTGTTGTTTCTCCAGGCCACTGACGATATTTCCACGCTTTCAAAGTCACACACATACTCAACTTAAGTCCCACTATCCATTTTTTTTGCTTTATCTTCAGATTGCTACTTAATGTTTGGAATATGGTTTCGACTAACAGTGCCTAGAGAATATATACCTTTGTTAGTAAGATAATGGAGTAGAGGCAATGAAGTATAATAGTTGTTAAAGTAAACAACATAATCCTTTTTTTTTCGGGATAATCCTAGATAATCTGACAACTACATTAGCACTTGCTTCTAGCTCTCGTTCATTTACCCGACGATTCCTTCCCTGTACCAATGTATATTTCGAAATTGTAGGAATATCTACTAACACCGCATAAAACGAAGTTTGTATCCCCACTTCTGGGGTTTAGCAGGAATGTATTGTTTTATATAGTGCCTTCCTTCTGATGCGGACATTTGCTCATCTACTGAAAGCTTTTGTTCCAATGGTATGCTTTGGAATTTATCTATACATATATTTGGTATCTATTTTTCCTTGAATTATGAGTCTCAAGATGTTGTATCTCGCCTCTCATCACATGTACGAGATATTGTAATTTCCTTTCTTTCATTTTATTTTCCATTGCATTCTATCTGCCTATTCTCCTTAACACGTCTGCATTCGTAATTATATCTACCCATGGAATCCTTAACAATCTTCTAAAGGTCCACATTTCAAACGCGTTAAGTTGATTTATTGTATTCCGGTTTAATGTCCATGATTCAGCATAGAGTAAGTACACTGTGTACATAGCATTTAGTGAGCCTTATTCTGAGAGCCAATGTCAGATCTGTGCTGCATAAAATCTTTTTCGGTTTCACGAAGGTTTTCACGTGCTTTTTCAATTCTGACTCTTATTTCTGCAGTATAATCGTTATTTTCTGTGATTATCGTTCCCAAGTAAGTATATCTTTTTACTCTCTCAATCTGCTGGCCACATACTGTTAATATTTTGTTTGTATTGTTGTTCTTGCTAATTTTCATGAATTTGGCTTTTTTCATGTTAAGAGAGAGAGTCCGTGTTCTCCACTATATCTTAATATTTTGTTCATTATTCTTTGTAAGTCTTCCAAGTTGTCGGCTATTATGACTATATCGTCGGCATACCTAATGTTGTTAATTAAATCTCCGTTCACTTTTATGCCGACTGTCTCGTTTACCAAAGCTTCTTGTATGATTTTGTCAGAATAAACATTAAACAATAACGGCGACAGTATGTAACCTTGCCTGACTCCTCTCATTATCTCCACTTCTTCTAACACTTCTCTTCTAATTTTCACATTTGATCGTTGGCTATGGTATAAATTTTATATCAATGTTACATCCCTCACATCCAGATTTTTGTTTTTGAGTACTTCTATACGTCGGTCATGATTTACCTTATCGAATGCCTTGTTGTAGTCCAAAGTAGTAGTAGTATGTAGAAAACCAAACTGGGAATCACTAATATCCATCTCCAGCTTAGCGTGTATTCTGTTATGGATGATTTTTAGCAGGGTTTTTAAGGTATGTGACATTAGACTGATCGTTTGATAATCACTACATTCTTTGATTTTACGACATTTACTTTCTTTGGTACACAAATAAACGTTGATGTCAGCATTTCACGTGGAATGACTCCTGCGGAATAGATTGTGTTCAGTAGTTGGACTAAAAGATCTATCTTCTTTTCATTGAACAGTTTCAGCAATTCACTTGGTATTTCATCTGGACCAGCAGCTTTATTATTTTTCATGGACTTTACTGCATGCATAACTTCTGACTTTGTTATTTCGGGTCCCTCGTCTGTACTCTGATTATCTTAATATATATTTTCCTGTCTCTGGTCATGGAATAATTCCTCTATATATTCTTTCCATCTTTCTAATTTTTGTTCCGTCTCCACTAAAATGTTTCCTTGTTTGTCCAATAGTATGCTTGAGGTGTTTTGTTTTGCTACCCCAGCTAATTCGTTAACTTTCTTATGGAGATTGAAGTTATCATATTTGTTTTGTAAGTCTTCTATTTCTTGGCATTTTCCAGCTAAATAAGTCTCTTTAGCTTTTTTTATTTTCCTTCTTATTTGATTATGCGGCCATTAATACTGAGTTATGTTCTCTGTGACTTACTCTGTAACTAATATATATATATATATATATATATATATATATATATATATATATATATATATATATATATATAAGCGAGGTTGTTACAGCCTCTGCCGCCTCTCGCATTTCAACCGCCATCGTTTTCTGTCCATCCATTCGTCTTCTTTGATGGCTCTATCTTTCATTATGTGTCGTACATTTTCTTTACAGGCAACTGAAGGCCTTCCCCTTCTTCTTCTTTGTTGTGGTATGTAATTTAAAGCTTTCTTTGCCCATATATCTTCATTCATTCGCTTCACGTGACCACACCACACTAGTTGTCTCGTTTCAATTCTGTCTACAGTGGAATATTCAGTATTTGCCATCCTTCTAATATCTTCATTCCTGATATGATCTTTTTTTCGATACACCAAAAGCTCTCCTTAGAAAATCCATTTCTACTACTTCTATTCTTTTTCTATCTTTTTTCGTGGTCTGCCAAACTTCTGCCCCATAAGTCATAATAGGCTCTACCAAGGTTCGATAGATTGTCAATTTCGTTTCTTATTTAATATCTTTAGACCATAGTAGAGAGTTTAGAATGTTAACCGCTTTTTTTCCCTGCTGCGTTCTGTTTTCGATGTCTCTTTTGGTAGTGCCTTCTTTAGGTATTATAGATCCGAGATATTTATATTCCTTGCATGTTTTTGTGTTTCTAATTTCTAATTGTGGATCTTCTTCATCATCTCCTATTTTAAGATACTCTGTCTTTGACATATTCATATTGAGGTCCCATTTTTCATATTCTTTCTTTAGTTTTCTAAATATGTAGTCCATGAAGCTATTTTCTTGTGGCATTGTAAATTAATTACTATTAAACTGGGAATAAGCCACAATTAAAGATAAAAATATACAAAAAAACATACACAAGGAATAATATGAGGAAAATAACAATACCGTACATAAAAGGACTATCAGAAAAACTTAAAAGAATAGGAAATAAATTCAACATTTCAACAACATTCAAAACAATAAACACGTTGAGATCTATTTTGTCCAAAACCAAACCTAACAATGAACAAGAAAGGACAAAGAATTGGATTTATAAAATACCTTGTGAATGCGATCAGTTTTATTTAGGTGAATCATCAAGACCATTAAATATTAGAATAAGTGAACATCAATCTTATATTAAAAATAGAGAATTTGATAGATCTCAAATCTGTAAACACGCATGGGATAATGAACATAGGGTTCAATGGAATAATTCAAATGTAGTCCTAAAAGGAACGGATGGTAAAAAAAGAAATATCAAAGAAGCGGCTTTAATTATGCTAAATGAGGCCAATTGTGTCGCAAATTCCTCGGCAGAATGTAGTAGGATCTGGTTACTAATATTGAAAGAGGAAGTTATTAATAAGAAAATACCAGTATTAGTAAGTCAGTAACATATAGAGGATACATCATTTATGTTTTTTAAATAACGTAACATATAAAATCAGAATTTTGATGTTTGTTGAAGGTAAACTAAATTCACGAACAAATACTTACAATGTCGAGATAGTATTATGAGGTTTTTTTTCTGGTTTTTCCCTCATAATTTACTATGGAATCACTAACAGGAGAATTTTACTGTCATCATTTCATGTGTTTGTCTTTTTAAAGACGAATTACATGCTATGATTTTTTTTTTCTTTTTTTTTCTGACGGATATTTTCAAGTTAAAGTTGATTTCATGTAATCGAATGAACTATCTTATAAGTAAAGTCGTCCCAGGAGCGCAACTCAACAATATTGGCAATATCATTTTAAAGTCGTCTACTTTAAAATGCATAATGTATGTCTGAATTGTCAATATAAATGAGTCAGATAAAATTAAATTATTAGAAGAATTTTTCAGTATATAACAAAAAAACAAAATTTGTTTAATTTACTGTTTGTATTTTGAGAACGATTTCCGAAGTGGAAATTGAAACGTCAATAAACGTATTTTCATCTTTAATTGTGGCTTATTCCCAGTTTAATAGTAATTAATGTAGTCCATGTCTTCCTCATCATTCGCTACGACTACCTGATCATCTGCGAAAAATAAAATTGTTAGACATTTACCATCGCCTATGTCTATTCCCATTCCGGATACTTGTTTCCTCCACTGCCCTAGTGATGATTGAATATATATTTTAAATAAGGTCGGAGATAGACAACATCCTTGTTTAAACCCCTTTGTTATTGGAAATGATTCAGATATAAAGTTTCCTTCTTTAACGACACTTCTTGCATTTTTGTATATATTTGCGATAGCATCCACATACTCTCTACTAAGACCTACTTTCGTCAATGTTGAAAGAGTTTTTTCAAAGGTACCGTATCGTATGCCTTCTCTAAATCTACACACAATAGATGGGTAGATAGATCCCTTGCCTTCCGTTTTTCGATTACCTGCTGCAGAACGATATACCATCAGTGCACGACCTTCCTGCACGAAATCCATTTTGTTCTTCTATGTCTTCGTATTCTGATTATATTCTTCTTTTATTATTATTCGACCGTACAACCTCCTCACTAAGCTGATAACAGTTATTCCCCTATAATTAGAGCATTTGCGTTTATCCCCTTTCTTGAATATTGAGCTGATGTATCCAATATTTCAATCATCATGGATATTTTGTCCTTTTAAGCATTTGCTAAATAGTTGAACCAACATCTTATGTAATATTTTTGGTCCATACTTTATCAACTCAATTGGGATGTCTTCAGGTCCTGCTGCTTTACCGTTTTTCGATCTTTTGAGGGCATCGTTTAACTCTCCGGTTGTTATCTCACTTATTTGTGTGTGTTCGGATATTTCTTCCATTTCGATCTCTTGGAATTTACATCTATCCTCTGTCAGTAAGACCTCATAATGGTGTTTCCACTGTTTCAGATCTATTCACTGTAAGTTAGATTTTTCCTTTCCTTCCCTCCGGAGAGACTTTATCACCTTCCAAGCTTGCCCAACTCTTGTTCCACCCATATACCTATCCACCTCTGCACATCTTCGATCCCACATCTCATTTTTACTTTTCACTACTTCTCTTTTTACATTTCGATTTAATTGTTGATATATCTTGTACTCTTCATCCAATGGTGACCAAAGTTTGCATATTCTCCGACCACCATTCTTGATTTTTTGTTTCATGTTTGTCTTTATAACCCAAAGCTTCACTTGCAGCCTCATGAATGCATTTTTTAAGTTGCTGGTATAATTCTTTTGCTGATATATTTTGTCGATATCTGGAGGGATAATGATTACCCCGATAAAGGGATAGTCATTATCCCTCCAGATACTGACAAAGAATGTAGCGTAGAATATTTAAAGTAATTTTAAACTGTTTGTCCTCGTTTTAGTGTAGTGTTTTGTACAATTTTATGTTATTATTAATGTTTCCACATTCTACGCTTGCCGGATAGTTTATATTTTGACGAAATGCCCCTGAAGATGCTATTTTAAGCGAAAGTACTTGGGCTAGATTTAATTAACTTGTGCTTGATAATAGCCTTATTTTTCAAAGTTCATTTATTCGAGCATTCAACCTCATTTCAAATATATATATATATATATATATATATTATATATATATATATATATATATATATATATTATATATATATATATATATATATATATGTATATATATATATATATGTATATATATATTATATATGTATATATATATATATATATATATGTATATATATATATATAGATATATATATATACATATATATATATATATATATATATATATATTATATATATAATGATAATGGCTCGAAAATGGGTGCCGAAACGTTGAGTTTTAAATTCTCAACGCGGAACACCGATCATCTTTAATTTTATTTGTCAGTTGTTTTATCTCTTTGTAATTATTGACGTTACCATGTTGCTTTAATAAAAATTACAATTTACTTCTGTCTGTTGTTCCTTCAGCCTATCTATAGATATCTTAGTTTGGTAGATATCAGACAGGTGAGGATAGGCTGAATGAACAACAGACAGCTGATAGTTTATGGATAAGGCAAATATAGCAGAAAATATTGAGTGAGAATTTTTTACAATTAAAAAAATGGTAGAAATGATTTTTTTTAAGTACATCAAAATTTCATAAACTCCAAAGCGGGTTTAATGGGTGAACCTTTTTTAGGAATATTTTCAGGGATTATTGACTGTGGACGGTAATTATTTCTTCCTAGCGTTTCGTCTGCAACTGCGGCAGATATCAAAAGCGATATGGCAACGTTCATAATAGTCTACTAACTGACGATTAGTAACGATCGCTATAATATACGACCGCTTTGATAGAATATAGATTGTAGACTATATGTAAAGAAGTCATTTGGCCTCATACACAACGTTACATTATGACCTAAAAGATTTTTTGGGTACACCCTACATCGTTTTGGTATACTGTTTGTTTTAAAGTACTTTTAGCACCTGCTGTGGAGCCTCTTTTGGGTCGGGACATTGGTTTAACAGGTGCTTAAACCTTTTCCTCACTTTACCACTCATGCTCACTTGCTGGATTTATTTCAGTGCTTGCTAAACTTCATCGCGGTTCTCCTGACAATTTTTCAGTACTTCATCATCATGTTACCAAGTATGTACTGTAATCCACATGTTTATTTGGCCCTTGTTGATCAGTGTGCCGTGAGGAGCTAAGGTGTAGATGGTGCAACCTAGGTATCGCCTGAGATCAGTAGTAGAGCCGTCCTTAATTTCTACTTGATCGTGCTCATCTTACAAAATTAGCTATCACAATTGAACAAGAAGATTCACTTCACCACTACAAGTTCATACAGCTCCCAGAGGGAATAGACTTTTATGAATGTATGCCGTAGTTATAGACGGAACGAGAGGAAGAATTAATTCCAGATTATAACCTATAAACCGAAAAAAAATGTATCATTACCAAATACTGGCTGTGAAAAACTATATTCCTAGATCATACTTACTGTTCCTGCTGTAATGGCTGTTGCTTGAGCTGCAATATTTGTTCCTTTTTTAGTATTTTTAAATCCTTCTACTCCACAAGATCTTATTAGTTTAGGTGTTCCTGTAACAAACAAAATTTAGAGAAAAGATATAGCTATTATATGACAATGTGTTTGCTAATAGTCTTCGACAAAATAAGAAAAACCGCCAGAATATATCACAACCTACTTCATGGTGTCATGGCCAGCTCCCATACATTGTCTGTATTCATCCGACTTATCACCTAATGACCTAACAAACAAAAGACATGACGACAGAGATTATTATTGCCTCAAGAAGCTGTTGATGCCTTTCAAAGGCATGCTTCTATGATATCAGCTTCAGAGTGGAAAAAATATTTCCAGAATTATTTTGAGCAGATGCAAAAGTGAGAAAACGAGTTGGAAAACGAGGTCCAGGAAGAAGAACAACGTCTTGGTTAAAGAACCTCAGAATCTGGTTCAGTACAACATCTGTGCATCTTTTCTGCGCTGCTGCAGATAAAATAAAGATTGCCATGACAGTCGCCAACATTCGTAACGGATAGGCATATCAAGAAGAAAGAAGAAAAGTGTAGATCCTAAAGGGGAATAATTCGAAAAATCAATAAAACATTTTTTGAACTTGTTTTGAACTTGTTTATTTTTATTTTCACTTTTTGTAAAAACTTTTGACAAAATGTGTTTAACACGTTTTCTACAATAATTGCACTTTTATATTAATATATTGTATTAAGAGTTCTAATCTAATTTTTGTATGCAATAATGTTCTTTATAATATTTTCTCCTTTGATTCACACATCAGTGTCTTCTGGTAGTATATACCTCAGAAATACAATGCCTTTGCTTCCTACATTTGAAATATAACCAGCATGTTTAAATTATGACCTTTTCTCCCACACATATGCTTCTAGTATTTCCACCACACATATGTGATAACTTCATCGATGTAAAATTTGGTTTGAAGTGACTATTTATCTAGTTATGCGTGTCAGAATGTTAATTAAATCAGTATATTAGTATTAAATATGATAAATATGTAATTGATGGATTCGACTGTTACTTGATGGAAATTCATTGTATGTAACAATAAAAAACTGAAAACTTTGTATTTAAAATATTATCACTACAGCTGTTTCGGCCGATTGCCTTTCTCAAGTGAACTATTTTTGGCATGCATTTACACTTTATATTCTTTAATGAAATCGGTTGAGGAGGAGAAAACTGTTTGTCTCAAGTTGGTCATTGCATTTGTTAATTTCCATACATTCTAACAAAGATAGCTTAAGGGCTTTATTTTGAATGTGAAGAATTTTTAATTTGTCATTAAAAGAATGATTATGCTCTAGAGAGTCAAGTGCGTATGTAGAATCTGTTTTTCTATTATTGAAAGCCCTTTTATGTTCTGCTATTCGTTTATTAAAATTTCTACCAGTTTGACCGATGTAAGTTTTTGGGCAGTCGCCACATTTAAGTTTGTATACAACACTGTTTAAGTACTTTTTATTTTGGCTCTTGTTGTTTTTAATATATTTGCCCAAGTTATTATTTGTTCTGAAAGCTGGTGATATTCATTTCTTTTTTATGTGTTTGGCTATTTTAGTTGATATTTTGCCTGTATATGTAATCGAGCAGAAGGTACTGGATTTTTTCTCTAGTGGTGGAAATACTAATTTCAGGGCTTTCTTGTGTAGTTTTTGATTTAAAATCTTATTAATTCTTTATTTGTTGTATCCATTGTTTACTGCTATTTGCTTAATGATATTTAATTCTTCTTTAATTTAAATTTTCACCCAAATTTACTACAAAAAATACAAAAGAACTAGTTACATTATAATAAAATACAACATTTTCAATGAGCTAACAACTCCATATTAATTTCATTTGACGTAAAAATCTGTTTCCTAGTATTCCTCCTACAGAAACTTTTATTCTAGTAAAAAACCAAAATAGTACAAATCCAATTATTACATCTGAAATTTTACATCTTCTTGAAATTTGCATAAACCAGGACTACTTTGAATTTAATAATCAAATATATACAAATAACAGTGCAGGACTTATAATGGGCAATCCTCTAAGCCAATAGAGATTTCAAAACATCCAATATTCAAACAGTTTTTCTATTGGTGGAGATACGTAGACAACATAGTGGTATGTTTCACAGGAACTAACAGGCAACTCGACCAATTTTTATCGTATATTAATTCACTTCATAGTCATATTGAATTTACAATAGAAACAGAACAAAATCAATCCTAAAATTTTTTAGATTTAAAAATTATCAGATTTAAAAACAAACTTGACTTCTCCATATTTCATAAACCTACCCATACTGACACGACTATACACAATTCATTATCCCATCCCAGACAAAATAAACTGGCAGCCTATCATAGTATGTTACATAGATTAACAGAAATTTTGATGTCAAAATACAACTTCGAGACAGAATTAAATATCAGTAAGCAAATAGCAGTAAACAATGGATTCAATGAACAAACAATTAATATAATTTTAAATCAAAAAGTACACAAGAAAGTCCTGAAATTAGTATGTCGACCACCAGAGAAAAACCCAGTACCTTCTGCTCAATTACATATACAGGCAAAATATCAACTAAAATAGCCAAACACATAAAAAATAAAGGAATAACACCAGCTTTAAGAATAAATAACAACTTAAGCAAATATTTTTAAAAACAACAAGAGCCAAAATAAAAAACACTTACACAGTGGTGTATGCAAACTTAAATGTGACGACTGTCCAAAAACTTACATAAGTCAAACTGGTAGAAATTTTAATAAACGAATAGCAAAACATAAAATTTTCCGTTGTTTTTCGTACTTTTATATGGCGTGGAGTCATGGTCCTTAACTGAAGCATCCCTGAAGAGACTCGAAGCATTTGAGATGTGGTGCTATAGAAGCATGTTGAGGATTTCCTGGATAGACAGAGTTACCAACGAAGAAGTACTACATAGAATGGGTAAAGAGCGCGAACTAGTCGTAACCATAAAACGTCGCAAACTAGAATACCTAGGCCATATAATATGCAATGAACAACGATATGCCCTACTTCGGACCATACTTCAAGGTAAAGTGCATGGGAAAAGAGGTCCAGGACGGAGAAGAATATCCTGGCTGCTAGAGGTGTGCTTATTAGTTCTTTTAGACGAACTAGTTCAAGAGAACTATTTCACAAAAATGAACTAGTTCAGTGAACTAGTTCGCGAAGGAACTATTTGTAATCCAACCCTAACATAACTGGTTGCCAGATGTCTCGTCTCAATCATCACACAAGCTCGGTGCCGGCCGCCCGTTGTCTTCGTTCAGTCTTTTACTACCGTACGGCGTACAAGTAGTTCGGATTCGGAACCATTTCTTTCGATCGTATGTTTAGGTTTAAATGTTTAATCATATAAATTATTATATGATTAGTTAGTTTTTCTTTATATTTTTTTTTTCTTAATCAATCCCAAAAGATGAGTAACAGACGAAATAGGAGTTTTTTATGGAATCATTTCGAGAAAACGATAATAATAAAAAATCTGCAAAATGTAATTACTGTTCATGTGATGTTAGTATTTAAAGTGGTTGACTGGGCAATCTATCAATACATTTAAGAACGACACACCCTACTATTAATCTCAAATATCTCAATGTTGACAGATACATAGGAAAAGGACTTGAAAAATCAGAAAATAAATTTCAAGAACCTCAACCTTCAACGTCAAAATCAGTTTCGCTAGTAGGACAAGCAGGGGAAGATAAAGAGAAAGCATTTATAATTCTTAAGAAAAAGCCTGCTCCTACTCCCCTTGTTTCTATCAGGGACTACGTAATTCGACCCGTTCCATTCGAAATATATGACCTCATTCATTGATTATTTTCTTCTTTAGAAGTGGAGACACAATTTATAATGCAAATCGTTCTCAGTGAACTAGTTCTATAAAAATTAATGAACTAGTTTAATTAGTTCAGTTAAAAGAATCGTTCATTTGAACTATTTCGATGGTGAACTACACATCTCTACTGGCTGCATAACCTGCGAAAATGGTTTAACTTAACCACAACCGGACTTTTGGCACCATAAGAAGAAGAAGAACATAAAAGGGGCTTTCAATAATAGAAAAACAGATTCTACATATGCACTTCATCTTCTAGACCATATTTTATTATTTGTAAATTTAGATCATCAAGGATCAGTTGGGTATAACTAGGGCATTTATTTTTTGTATATAATTAAGTTGACTGTACATAATTGGTGGTGGGTATTTTAAGATAAATTTATATTGTATATATTTGGCTAGGGATTAAAGTTTTGGTGAAAATTAAATATTTCAATTCATACCTATATCCTTTTTTTATTTCAGCACATAGCTTTACAAGATACCTTGGAAAGTTTATGTAAATACTTTCCTGGCGCTCACTCACATTTTGGAGCAACTTCTATAATCACTTTTATTTATCTTAGTTATATTCCTATAGTTTTTTTTAAAACCTTGTCATTCATTTTCTTATTCTACGGTCTCTGTAGGGCATGCAAATTGGCCGAATCCTCCTTTGAGTGTCAAGTAGTCACTCTCCGGCAACTTCTGCTAGCCAGCTTTAAAATTATATGTTATCTTTTACTTTACCCCCAACTACTTGTGTTTCATTGCATACACACTTTTGTTATATTCTTACACATTTTTTGTTACATTGGCGCTCAGCCCATTTTTTGTTAAATTGGGCAAATTGTGAGCACTTCACCTTCTAGATCATAATCATTCTTTTAATAGCGAATTTAAAATTTTTCACATTCAAAATAAAGGCCTTAAGCTACCTTTGTTAGAATCTATGGAAATTAACAAATTAAAAAACACAGATATAATTCTGAATGACCAACTTGAGACAAACAGTTCTCCCCTCCTCAACCTATTTCATTAGAGACTATAAAGTGTAAACGCATACCAAAAATAGTTCACTTGAGAAAGGCAATCAGCCAAAACAACTGTAGTGACAATATTTTAAAATAAATTTTGTGTAAGTATTGAAAACAAAGTTTTCAGTGATAAATATGTGTTTGTTCCTCATTTTAAAATATAATTTAAATACACTCTTAGTACTTACCAACAGATTCTATAAATCCAAATCAATATATAATCAATGATAATGTTATACGTTGGGAAGAATCTAGAGAATATATTAGAAGAAGAGGTTAAGTCAAGAAATGCTCAAATCAAAGGCTGTTAAATATGATACAAGCCAATTAATCTATTACTTGAGAGATCAAATGTGTGTTTTCATTCTTTCTACAGCATTAGTAGCCTATAAAGGTGAAATCATCTTTGATGGACTTAAATAAAATTTGTATAGCTTATAACATAGTTAAGGCAAGAAATTAAAAGTAATTACAATAATTTTACTTAGACCAGTGCGGATCTGTGAAAAAAAAAATTTGTATGTAAAAGGTGGCATTCAGATTTTTGCAGAAAAAGTTGTGTGATAACTTCAGTAATAATAATTCACTTATCCTCTCTCTCAAATAGGTTGGGAATATTAATAAAAAAATTAAATCATTTAAAAATTGATAGATTTCGCATAATTTTGCAATCTAAATTTTATTTTATATTGATTTTTTTTTAACCTTTTCACTGCGGCTAGTTATAAAAGTAGCATGGTTAGTGGTACGGATGTTTCATGCCTGTGTTCATCAACACGGTTGCCGCAGTCAGTCGATAAAGTACAATTTTGTAGAAGTAACTATAAATTTGTTGCTGTTAGATTCTTGAAAAATAAAAAAAATTAAATATGCAGAAAAATGATCACTATTTTATTTATTATTTTATTATTAGTAATTATGGCAACACAGTACAAAACTACAAACAAATGGTACACAAAACATTCAAATGCCAAATATAAATAAAAGTTTTGATTACATTAAAAGGAAAATTAAAAATTTTGTATACAATGGTACTTTTCGAAACATGGTGTAACGCATAGAGGCAGATTACAGCCTATGCAAGTATAGCATGTTTCTTTTCAAACCTTATGCTTTGCATATACACCACAGCATTTACTTGGTGGTCTTTTATTTTCTTCGCTGGATTGATACATTACTCTCAATAAGGCGTAATGGTGAATGAGCCTCTTCCGGTTTACGACTTATTGAGGCACAAGGTTTGATTTTGTTATGTTCAGCAATAATTTCTTTAACAAAAGTGTTAATTAAAAATCTTCAAGTAGAATATTCTTTCTACTGGTAATATTATATAAGACATGAGCATCTAACAAACATTTAACAAACAAATGAAAAAATAGCTTTTTATACCACTTTATTGACTTTCTGACAGATTCAGTGCTACTGACAAGCATGTCGGTTTTGATTACAGTCCCAATATTAAAATTATAATCCAGTACACATTCTGGTTTCTGGATAGAAACATTGTCCTTAGTTTTTTTACCACTATCTATTATGTTGCTGGAGTGAATTGTCATAAGCATTATAACTGGATGTCTATCTAACCACTATAGCACCTGCATATTTGTAGTTTTGTAGCCAACTACTTAAACTTGACGTAGGTTTTCCGTCATGGGTCTCATATTGTCCACATACAATGTATAGCCTTTATTCAAATAAGGCTCTATCAATGTATATACAACATTCCCAGAAATTTTTAGGTTTTTATCGAATATTTTAATGTCAGTATTAGACCCAGTATAAATGGTCCAAAATGTAGCCTGTCTCATAGTCACATAAAACATAGAATTTAATTCCAAATATGTGCCTTTTAGAGGGTATATATTGTTTATAAAGCCTTGCCTTATAAAGCATCAAACTTTTGTCGATACAAAAAGCAGTCTTTAAATGGTATATAACGATTCGCAGCATAAAAAGGGAGTCTTCCTTGTCAACGGTATTGTTATCTGAAAAATGTAACATATCACTTGACATAATTTGGGAATTGATTGTAATGAATTTTAGTGGGGTATTTTATTATAAAGATTTTCTAGACCAAGTATGAAGGTCCTAAGTGCAATCAAAGTGGTTGAAAAACACTGAATAAGAAAAATATTGTTTCCCCATTTTTTTTGTATTTATTGCTATTTTTCAGCAAGGGTAATTTGTAACGAGTTATATATTAGAAAATTTAATTGTCACTATTTTATTTTAGTATATGAATTGGTTTAAAGTTATAAGCAAGGAAAGTACAAAAACGATGTTTTTAGTCATTTTTAAATTTTTTTATTAATATTCCCAAACTATTTGAGAGGAAAGATGAGTCAATTATTATTACTGAAATTATCACCTAACTATTTCTGCAAAAATCCTAATGCCACCTCTCACATCCACCTCAAAATAGATCCATCCTAGTCTAAGTACAATTGAATGAATATCACTTGCTGTTTAGAAAACTTAAGAAAGTATAGATTGATTAGAAAGCATAATACAAAGATTATGGAAACAAAATATATAATCAATAAGTAAAGTTTCTTACCTTTTGCATCACTCAAACAAAGAATGGTATTATTCCTTGTAACTCTAATATTAAAAATAGGTAGGTCTTTAAAAGGAATTCCATTAAATAATTTGTTTGGAGTATCAATAGTGGGAAAAATATCTCTCCTAAAATAGAAAAAATTTATTTGAATTTATTAATTCTTTGTTTCTTTAATAATAACCTCTTACAATAGATAATCAAAAAGATGAAATTAAGTAAGTTGAACATGTTACACTTAAATGCTGATGATTGTCATTTCAGGGCTATTCCAAATCATAAATGTCAATGCCAATGTCATTATCATTGTCAATAAAAATGTTTATAGGTGCCCAGGTACATAAGAGACAAAAACCTTCAGAGATTAACACTCTTGCCGAAAAGTGTAACAGTAATGTGCACTCTGTATTGACAAATGTGTAACATTAATGTACACTTACAGCGTTTCATGTTAACAAAATAATATAGTTTTGGCGCACAACAAAAAAAATTTAAACTATCATTGGTGGCAAGAGTGTTACAAGACAACTGTATTGAATTTATTTCAGATTTACATTCTTTTTAAAGTCAGATCACAAGGTAAGTATTGATACATATGAAAAGTTGCAATGTATTTTTCTCATAGTAAAAAAATGTTGGCACAGCATGCAATTATGTGCAGAGGACATAGTGAGGATAATGAACCAAAGTCAGATATCATATTTAGGTCAAACTACAGGAGTGATTATCTAGATCCTCTGGTATCTGATTATGATTGTTACTTGTTACTCAAATGTGGAAGTGAAAACACTGTAAAATGTGTGCTTTTGAAGCTATTTTAAGTTTTCAACTAAATTATAGAAAAAATTTCATTTTTGTTCTCTTACTTGGTAATGGAAGAATCAATATCAATCGATTTTTCGCCATGCGTTCCTTCATCTATTGCAGGCATAGACCTTAGCATTTCCTTTCTGTCCACAACATCTCTCAGATTCAGTGGTGATGTAAATAGAGATCTGGCCTGTACAGTTTTATGACTTTGAAGTAAAAGGTTTTTAAAAAGTCTATTAATTTGATTGATAGCCATTTATATATTAAATATAAACAGAAATCCAAAATATATACCACAGTATAAAATTTGATAAAACTATAGACTTTTTGCTACAAGAATTGTTTGGTTAAATATCTTCTTCTTCTTCTTCCATTTATTTGCTTAACCTTGCCTTAGTACCTTAGGTTGTTCCTTGGAAAGAGAGAGGACGCGTAGAACCCTATCGCTAAAAGTGAAGCCAAACTGCCACCAGAGGAAGTGGTCAGCGGCGTATCTTTGGTTTTTAAAGGATTGACTAATTCGTATTTAAAATGAAACATTTGTGTACATTAAATGTTTTATTTAATTTATTTTATTTTATAGATATAGAATATTTTAGAATCAAAATTAACGAAATTTATTTATTTATTTACGGGCGATTTTCACATTTGGTCCCATTGAAGATAGCCTCAAATTAGCTGTCAATTAAGTTTCACAGAACGAAATATTGGGTTGGCAGTGTTGCGATATAAGAGATAAAGCTTTTAAAAGGTACATTTTTATTATATTATTTTATGGATTCTGCAATTTTATACCTTATATAAAATATTAATGAAGTAATATTTGTTTCGTTTGATATTAGTTGTAATAAATTATCAGAAATTTTTTTTGGCAATTGCCCTTTGGTAGGTTAGCGGATAGATTTGGCAATAGAGTCAGAACCCTCGAACCACCCGCTGCCAGATTGGCAAAGATGTCTTTTAAATTTTATTATTTATACTGACATTTTACTATTTACTGTTAAAAACTGTTTTAAAAACTATTTGCTTTTTCTTTTTTTCGTAATCGTTAAATATTATTTTTAAATATCTTATTGCTTTTAATTGCGTATGTTTCGTTTTTAATGTAAATTTCAAAACTGCGAAACACCAATATTTCATTCTGTCAAACCCATTTGAAGCTATCTTCAATGGGACCAAATGTGAAAATCGTCCTTATTTACTAAGTTTATGGAATTTTATGGAAGTTTAACCCTCAACGCACATCGCCACTGGCAAATCATCATGGTGTGTGAGTGAAATTATTCTATAATACAATTACTGGGATGAGTTTGCCGAAAGTACAAGCTGATTATAGCCACAAATGTCAAACATGGTACAAACAATTTCGGTTTAGCAGTGTCACAGAATATGTGGCAGTGTTGGCATGTTTTTATAATGTAAATGTTGTTATAATGTATATGTTGTATGCTTCAAATATAAAAAGATAAAGAAAGCTTTAGAAAAGTACATTTTGATTATATTGTAATTATATTGTGTTATAAATTCTGTAATTTTTGATTTATATAAAACAAGAATGAGTAAATATTTGTTGCTTTGGAGATTAGTTGCAGTTATTTATTAAGACAGTTTTACATTATGCTATTTTTCATGCTAGCAAGAGCCATGCAAGACAGATCATGGAACTCTGCATGCCCACGGGCTATTTCCATGCAATTCCTGTGCTAGACGAAAAATTAGAACATGTTCTATTTTTCATGCAATTTTCTTGCAATTTATCGTTAAAATTCATGTTGCCAACATAACAATTTATAATAGATTACAGAATAAAACATAACCTTATCTCTATCTTTAACCCACATGTGTATTGCTGTATTTTGATTTAAATTAAGTTTATTAAGTGGTGATAAATAGATATACTATGTCTAAAGTTAATGTAAAAATGACTGGGTGAGTCGTTGACTATGGATGATTGTTGCTACAACAGCAATATTCAACAATACAATGTTTTTCTTTTCTTTGGTTGACATCTTCACCCTTTTAATAACCATAAATAGTGTATATTTATTTATTATATTATTTATTTTAGTACTTAATTATATTTTTTTATTTCAAATAAAATAACCTCAAATTGATAAATATTTTCTCTGTTGGCAACAATGAAAGTGGGATCTAAAATTGCACAGAAATATCTCTGATGTAAAAAGGTCAAGCTAGGCAAGAGATGTGCCATGCAAGACGGACTTGCATAGCATGAGACTTGCATAGCCTAGATGTAAAGCTGCCTTTAGAAATTTTTTTGGCAATTGCCCTTTGATAGATTAGGGGATAGATTTGGCAATCGTCAAATCAGCAGTTACGAGATTGCAACAGATGTTTGCAATTAATTTCGAAAGAGACAAATATTTACTCGTTATTCTTTCATAGAAATTAAAAATTGCAGAATTCATAAAATAGTATAATCAAAATGTACTTTTTAAAAGCTTTCTCTTTTTATATTTGAAGCATCTTCTTCTTCTTTGGGTGCCGTGTCCGTATTCAGACGTTGGCCGTCATCATGTTTACAATTTCCTGAAACCTTTCTCTGTCGGCTGCTGTGCGAAATAATTCTTCTACTGTGAAACCACACCATTTGAAGCATGCAACATATGAATTATAAAAAGATCCCAACACTGCCAAACCCAAATATTTTATTTCATAGTTAGCATTTGCAGCTATATTCAGCTTGAACTTTCTGTAAAATCAATGTGACTTCAACGTGTTTCAACCATATTCTATTAGATGACCAAAGCGGTGAGAAGTAAGCCAAGGTCTTGATATTGGAGGTATCTCAACATTGATAGGAAACTATGGAAAAAATATATGAAACATCTAGACTAGAACATTAGTAAATATGATAAAAGAATATGTAACAACAAAGGTAAAAATAAAGGAGAAGATTCAGAAGCTGTACAAGCTAACAAAGCGAATACATAGGAAGATCACAGAATAAATAACAATCAGAATGCCCACTCTCAGTGGGCTTCAATTCATAGACTCGGATTGAGAAATTTGTAACAAGCTAGACGACAGAACTGTAATTAAAATTTTTAGAGATTAATAGTTTAGTACATTTGAAATAATTGAATCCATTCTTCAAATTAAACCGGGTTAATTATTTTTCTATGCACACCAGATAAAATCAAATATGTCACTGAACAACACTGGTTCCGTTTAAAACATGGCTGATTCCGCCTGCGCGAACGAGATGCGTGTACTTATTCTTTCAAGGAGAGTCGGCGTTCTGATTGTTTATTGTTCTGTGGGAAGATACAGTGAAGAAGAAATAAATGGGGTCGCAAGCGAATGAAAGAGATATCGAAATAGGTATAGGCTTAAGAAGAAATAGAATTGGGAGAGAAATTATTACCACCCTAGAAAAAGGGATGAAAAAGGATGAGTTTATAAGATATGCTGGCGGAGAAACTAAAATAGTAGAAAGAAGGGAAATAGCGCCAACAGGGGGCAAAGACATAATAATAACAGTGGCCAGGGCCGGGCCGAAGGGGACAGGACAACTCATGGAACAAAAAGACAGTGTCTTTTTGCTCGATGGGACAACTACACCACGCAATGTGTTCAAGGTTCAAGATACCGGTCTGGACAGAATATTAAGGGAACGGAGAACGTAAAAGTAGTACGGACTACGTCCTTCTTATGAGGTAGTCCGTAGTTATAGTATTTGTATTATATTTATTAAATTTTTGTATTTTATTGATGTATTAAATTTTTATTTTAGATAATCCTTGATGTTACGTCTATGCTTCTAACCTAACTGTAAACTTGTCAAATGTCATTAAATTGAAAGTTCTAATTCTAACCTCAATAACCGATAACTGTATTATTTGTATGATAAACAATCGGAATCAATATTACTATGATTTTAATATAATATTTAAAAAAGTTTTGAAATTGTATATAGACATTAAAAACAATTTTACACTTAAAACAAAGTGCTAATTATCTAATTTAATATGACTTCTATTATAAAACTTCAAGCTTTGTCAGGAGCCAAAGATGAATCTCCCCCATGCTATATTCTTCAAATTGATGAAGTGCGAATACTTTTAGATTGTGGGTGGGACGAAAAATTTGACATGGAATTTATTAAGGAAATAAAAAGGTGTATATTTATTTATAATTTCAACTCTACAGGTCCTGTTGGCCTAGGTGTTTAAAATATTTTCAGTTGAGTGTATCAGAATTATTTAAGTAAATTCAGATTTTATAATGCTTTAACACATTAGCAATGATCTGTCCAAGTTTTTGAGTTTTATTATTTATGCTATTACTACTTTTATTTTTTGTCTGATATGTTCATAAATCCTGGACACTTTTCTTCTTCTTCATGTGCCGAGCTCGATTATCGAGCGTTGGCTATAGTAAATTTGTTGACGGCAGCTCGGAACAGAGATGCAGAGGATCTGTTAAATCAATCTCTCAGGTTTCTAAGCTATGACATTCTTCTTCTACCTGACCCTCTTCTTCCGTCTACCTTACCTTATATTATTAAATGGAGTATATCATTTCTCTCTGGGTGGCGCATAACATGGCCAAAATATTCAAGTTTGCAATTTTTAACTGTCTTGACAACTTCCGTAACTTTTATCATTTTTTTTGTGTCTGTGGCATTTACTGTTTTAATTTTGTACAATAGCTTCTGGTTTAAAAGATAATTATAAAAAATTAATAGTATTTACTTTTCATAATTATCTGTTATTATTGCTATTGAATTTTGTTTTTTTATTATTTAGTATGTGACTTTATTTTTACATTTGAAGTATTTGACTCACTCGTCACAACTATTATCTTGGTTAATGAACATAAGGTGACTCTGTTGTCCAATTCTGTATATTTTTTTGTTTTTGTTCTTTTTATTTTTTAAATCTTTGTAAATGGATATATTTAATTATTATATTATTTTAAATATACCCATTTACAAAGATTTAACCTCTTTTTTGTGATACGTGGTATACAGCCAGCTGCAGGAATTATTTTCCTTGTGGATTTTTTTTTTTTATTTTTTGTTTATTATAGGTATATTATATTAGTGCTGGGATTTAAAGCAGTTAGATAGTGGAGAAAATGTGCAAATTTGCAAAAAAATATAGAGTTGAAATACAAGACTCTAGCTTGGAAAGCTAAAATGGTTACTTTAAAGAAGTTAGATAGTGGGTAAAATATGTGGATATTTGCAAAAAATGGAGTTGGGTGTGCTACTAGACATGATCTTAAAAGAAAATAAAAAATATAGTGGACCTCATGAACAAAACGGAATTGGAACACATTAAGAGTTGGTAAATGTCCAAAGATGGAAAACACTTTCTACTTGTGGTTCATGCAAGAGTGTTCAACACATTATTGTATTTGGAGACATTCTCAAAGCTAAAGCAATCCCATTTTATAAAAAATATTCTAAGAAAGATGATTTTCATGCTAGTGTTGGGTGGCTGGATAAATTTAAAAAGTGATTTGGAATCTGTCTGTTAACTATAGATGAAAAATGGTCAAGCAATGAATCTGCATTGTAGTCATTTATCCAGCATTTTAAAGACAAAGTAGAAGAACTGTGTCTTCTTCCTGAGCAAATGTATAATGTAGATGAGAGTGCTCTATTATTTTTTTGCCCCAACAAACATTTCTATCTTCTAAAGAAGTGAGTGCACTAGTTGGCACTAAATTGGGCAAAAAGAGGATTCGTGATAAGTAAAGAAGATATAAATTCTTAGTAGAAATCAAGTAGAAATATCTAATCCATCAACTACTACTACAGTAAAAGTAAAAACAGATACAGCATTTACCTGTTTCAATATCTCCATAACATGGGAGGAAGAAAATGTCATATCTTCCAAAGATATTATAGTTCTAAACATACAAGAAAGGGTTTTTAAATAAGACTGCAAACACATGTTACACAAAAAGACCTTAAGCAAACCTTTGAAAAAATTAAGCTTAAGTTACAGTTATAAAAAATGTGTAGAACATTTTAATACAAGTACATATTTATTTGTAGCTATTTCGTTTATGAATAAATGCTATATTTTATTTATTGTGAATTTTCCTATACAATACCGTAATCTGAACATTCCACTAATCTGGCACCCTCTGGTTTTAATGGCGCCAGATTAGTAATATTCTACTGTAACTACTTCATAATTTTAAAACATTTATTTTTTAGGCATGTTCATACTATTGATGCTGTATTACTGTCTTATCCAGACATATATCATTTGGGAGCACTTCCGTATGTAGTTGGAAAACTGGGTTTAAATTGCCCAATTTATGCCACTATACCTGTATACAAAATGGGACAGATGTTTATGTATGATTTATATCAATCTCAGTATAATATGAAAGAGTTTTGTATTTTTTCACTGGATGATGTTGATGCTACATTTGAAAAAATTATTCAATTAAAATATAATCAAAATGTACCATTAAAAGGTTTGTAGAAAATATTTATAAATTAAATGAACAAATATTTTATATATACAAAGTAATATTTAAGTACTGTAAGTAAATAACATATTTAATTAAAATGGCAGCAGCTCAGCAACAAAACACCTATACTATTTTTGTCAAACAATTTTTACAAATCTTAAAATAAATTCTTTATTAATTTCACAATTCCTCCTCCTGATATAAACCAATGGTTTATATCAGGAGGTCAATGAGGCAATATGTTGAATCTTATACAACAAAAAATTGGAATATAATTGCCTTCTAAGGAAATTATAGAAGTTTGATACACATTATTTTTTTATTTTGAAACAGTTTAAGATAAATTTGTCATTTTATTTATTTTGTCATTTACATCATCTTGCAGGAGATCTCTATCCTATTCATTATGTATACAACGAAATATCTTAAGATCATCAGCAAATAGCAGGAAGTGCGGGTTTTTGATAGCCTTACCAATATTGTTAATGAACAAGTTAAAAACAAGGGACCACAATGAGACCCTTGTGGTACATCAGAATAACAATGAAATTCTGTTGAAATATAATTGTTAATACGAACTTGCTGTGTATGTCACATCAGAAAACTTTTAATCCAATTAACAATGGGGTCACCAAAGCCAGATGCATGACGTTTGTGGACCAAAAGATTATGATTAACCTGGTCAAAGGCCTTTGAGAAATCAGTGTAAACGCTATCAACCTTTAGTCTTAAATGCACCCAACAAGTATTGTTGGTAATTGACAAGGTTTGTTACAGTTGATTTTCCGTTAGAAAAACCATGTTGTTCATCAATAATTATGTTTCTGCAAGCCCAGGTGAGATTTATTGATACCAATTTATCAAGAAATTTCCGGATTTCTGATTGAATAGTTATACCTCTATAATTGTTAACACACTCACAATTGCCAGATTTATAGATAGGTGTAAGAAAACTATTTTTCCAATATTGTGGAAATACAGATGATGACAATTATAAATTGAAAATTTATTGTAAAGGTTTACAAAGGGAAAAAATACAGTTCTTAATAAGTGCTGCAGGTATACCATCAGGCCCTGAAGATTATGTAGTTTTTAAACTGCTAATCCCCTCGAAAACATCAGTTAGACTTAACTTCAGAATCTGGAAATCCACACTATAGTTAAATTTAAAATTAGGTACATTATACTTACTATCATTATATGTGCCTGAAAAATAACTGGCAAATAGATTGACTATTTCATCACCATTCTGAGCTATTACACCCCCACCTTTATTAGACATTACATTAGGATAAGCACTAGACCCACGTGTAGTACTAATGTACCTTCCAAAATAGTGGAGATTACTTGAAAGATTTGCTTGAATATTCTCTAAATAGTTCTTATAACATACTGCTTGTAATGCTTTACATCTTTCCCTTAACACCGAAAATTCCTCAAATGAGTTGCCTGATGCTTTAAAATTCCTGTGAGCTTTTTTTTTTTCTGTATGACCAGCTCAATTAATTCTCGCGAAAACCAAACTGGAAATTTTAATTATTTAAACCGTTTGATAGGAACAAACATATTGATGGCATCATATAAATATGGTAAAAATTTTCTAAGCCGCAATTTATATCTGATTCATCTAATACCTTGTTCCAAGGAATTGAGGCCAAATATTCATTTAAAACTTGATAATTACAATTTTTAAAATCATGATAGAAGACATCATATTTAAGAAACAAATTTAAATTGGCTGCACCTCTTTGACACAACTGCATCTCTCTAAGTACAGAAAACTAGATTTAAAAATTTATTATTAAGGTTAGGCAAAACATTTACTTGTGACATATTTTGAAAATTGTAGCAAGTACAAATAATATTTGCTGGAGAGTGATGAGGACACTCAACTGTAACACCATTACTAAGATTATCCCAGGATGCTTCAGGTAGGTTGTAGTCACCACAAATACAGAATTCACAATCACTGAATCTTTTCGCTAAGTCTAACATACAGGTGGAATGCTCCTGCTGGAAGATATTCATTTTTGACCAACCACTTGAATTAACTCCTCCAATGGTTTCCAATTGAGACTTTGGGTGGCTAATATTTTTGGAGAGAAGTTAACTGTTGAAATACCTGTCTCATCACAATTCCATACATTGTGACGGGTAGCTCTTTTAGACAGCAGTCTAAAGTTTAGAGTTAAACAGTACAAAATTAAACAGTGATATTGCGGGATTCTTATCTAAAGCATTTGTATAGTTTAGAGAAAAAAATGTATCACATTGTACTTAACACATTAAAACACACTCACATTAAATGCAGTAGAGCGCGCTAAGCTTGTTGCCTCCAGTTTTCTTAAAGACATCTGAGTCTTCTTCTTCTTCTTTGAGTGCCTCTCCTATCAGAGAGTGGATATCATTATCGAGATTCTAATTTTGTTTATTGCTGTTTTGAATAATTCGTTAGTGGTACAGCCAAACCACTCTCTTAAATTTCTCATCCAGGACATTCTTCTACAGCCTGAATTTCTGCGTCCTTGGATTTTTCCTTGCACTATATTTGTAGGAATGTGTACTTTTGTCCTCTCATCAGGTGGCCTAAGTATTCAAGTTTTCTCTTTTTTATATTCATAATAACTGCTGGATCGTTATTTATTCTGCGTATTACCTCTTCATTTGTAATTTTATCCACCCAGCTTATTTTTAGTATACAGCGGTTAGCACCACATCCCACAGCTTTCAAGATTTTTAATATTCCTCTGTTTAAGAATCCATGCCTCAACACCATAAAGCAAAGTACTGAATACATAGCATTTTAACATTCTAGTTCGTAGATGAATACTAATATCATGATTACAAAATAATTTTTTCATTTTTATAAAGGTAGACCTGGCAATTTCAATACATCTTTTTATCTCGTGATTTTGGTCACCTGTTTTATTGATGAGGGTTCCCAAGTATTTGTATTCGCTTACTTTTTCAAGTTGGGTACCGTTTATTGCGATACTAGTGTCATGTATTGGATTCTCACTAAAGGTCACATATTTGGTTTTTTTTTACGTTCATCCTTATGCCATCTTATGACATCTGAGTGGAATACCCCTTACGAAAATTATGAAGCCATTCTTTATCAACCATCTTATTAATCTCCCATGAAGGTTCATAGGATTTTTTATTTTCTTTAGCAAGTTCATAAGCTAATTCCCTAACATTTTTTTAAGCTCAAGCTGTAATGATGTGATGCATAAGTATGTATTTTAAAAGACCCTCCTACTTATTAAACACTTTTTTGTGTCAATATTTGGCTTATACTCATAATGAGTCACACCTGATCATTTAAAAGCTTTAATGTGTCATAAAAGTTTAAAAGGTTTGTCTACCCCACACACTTTAGCAGCAGCATAAGCAGTACGTTCCTTCTTTATGACCATTTCCATTGTCTTCTCCATGTCCTCTTTTGATATTGGTTTTTAAAGTTATGCTTCTATACGCGCGTTCGACGTTGGAAATTTGTACGGGAGTGAATCGGCAAAATCATTACATATGTAAGATATAGGTAAGAGGGAGACAGAAGATATATTTTCTCTCTCGAGAATAAAATTGTTCCTTTTGTAAATATATTTAATATTTATTAATATTATTATTTTATATTAATTCAGTAGATATATACATTTGGTCAAAGTCTTTTACAAATAAATATTCTTCCTGAACTTCTATGTTTCTTAATAACCTTTCCATTTTTGGAATACCATAAATAAACACAAACACAAAATCCAACCAAAAAACTGACATCTTAAATAATGTTCTTGTCAAATAATGACATTGATTAGCCACATTATTATTTAAGGTTACTGGACGAATGAGTCCAGTAACCTTAATGAATAAGTATATATAATGAATATATATTTTTTTAATTATTATGTTCTGATTTTTGTCACTTTGGTTTTAAAAATCAAAGAATGGAGAAATCATAATACCTCTTTTTTTTTAGTATTGTTTCGCTAATTTTATACATTATTATTTAATTTTCCAAACTGTTTTATTTATCATTGAATATTTAGTACATATAGTAGTCATGGGCGTAGAGATGAAAGGGGCGAATATAATGATTGTTATTATTTCTTTTATGTATATGTTTATATGTATGGACATAAATTTCAAAACAGGTCGATTTATTTTTAAATTATGATTTTTTGATATATATTATACTAGTGACGTTATCCATCTAGGTAGAAAGAGTTATTCTTTCACCGAGAGTTAATTTAATAAGATTTTCACAATTTAGTGGGTATTTTGAAACGGTGCCACAAAGAATCAAAAAACTCCAGGGACCTAATGATTTATACAAGTTCTTTTAATAATATATTAATTTCTCCATGGTTCCATTTAAAAGTATCTTACAAAATGGCGCCAAGAAGCTATTAATAAAACTGAGGCTTAGTTCAGTTACCTAAAAATTTAGTAATTCAAGTTTTAAGGTTCAGAAAAGAGTTGTTTGTGTAGGACTTATTTCGTTTTTTTTTTCCACATTAGTATATTGAATAAATTCATTCATTTTCGCTAGAATTATGTTGAATATGTTTTATGAATTATATGAATTATATGAATTTATGAGAACAAACTGAGTACTAAAATTTTTGACCCTTTTAATATGTATTATTAAGGACTCAATAGTTATTGTCTGTCTGTTTTTCTGCCTTAATGTGCTATAACTATAAAGGAAAAATCCTAAAAACTTAATACTTAATGCCTTAATGTACTATAACTATAAAGGAAAAATAGTAAAAATTTAATACTTGATACATAGCTTGGTCTAAGGTCGAACCCTATTGAATTTCTTCTTATTCTTATTCTTTATAAGCAATTCTGCTTGTTCATTGGCGAATTAATACATCTATGAAGGTTGTCAATCCGTCTTTTGTCCAGCCATTCGATACTTCTGGTGACTTACCTCTTGCTATTTTGACGACACGGGTTTCCCCCATTCTGCTTATGGGGTTATTCCATTAACTTTTTCTATTTATTCTGTATTCGCTTATACACTGTATGGTACATTTTCTTCTAATGTCTTAGCTTCTCTTTCGATCTCTCAGCGTATTTCATGTAACTCTTCTTAGTACTCTCACTCTTATCTCTGCCGTTTCCAGTAGCCTTTGTGTTGTGGCTGTGTCGGGTCTTGTTTCTGAGGCATATGTCATTATTGGTCTTACACTGACTTTATAAATTATTGACTTCATCTCAGTGTTAATGTGTCTGTTTCGCCATATGCTATTAATTCATCCTGTCAGTCTATTTGCTTTTTGTACTTGATTTCTTACTTCTTTGTCCAAGACTCCATAGCTGCACAATGTAGCTGCACCTTACTAATAATGGTATTTTATTTCCATTACTTGTTCAACAGTTTTCTAAAATGAGATTGTCATATTTTTTGCTCTTATGTTAAATCTGTGGACCAGTCTTTTCAGACTATCTTTATCTTGGGCTATCAATATTGCGTCTTCTGCGTAACAGAATATTTTTACTTCTTCGTTTTCTATTCTGTATCTTCTTTCCTTATTCCGCTGCCTTTTTCTATAGGTTCTGAACTTGTCCACCTATTCTGACTTCCATTTTGTTGTTTTGGTAGATGTTTTCAATAGTTTATATGATATTTATGGAAACTTCTCTATTATATAGAAGATAGCTTACATCTTTGAGTCTTACTCTATCAAATGCTTCCTTTAAATCACTTAGACACAGAAATGCTAGTCTTATTTATACTCTAGTGATCTCAGTAATTTGCTTTATGGCGAATATTGCACCTGTACAAGATCTTCCAGTACGAAATTCCTGTTGTTCATTTGCTAAACCTCTAATTCATTAGTAGTAGGTAGTATTTGGGTCATGTGTTGGGAGGCGAAAAATATGAATTACTCCATGTTATACTGGAAGGAAAAGTACAGGGCAAAAGATCAGTAGGAAGACTCAAGAACTCATGGCTGAAAGACCTAAGGAGATGGTTCAACCGCTCATCCGCAGAAATCTTTCGCGCAGCAGTTTCTATTTGATTAATGCTGTTAATTTTCTGTCATTGCTGCTTTACAATATTTCAGTAATTCGTTTGGTATTCCGTCTTTACCTACTGATTTTCTGTTCTTTATATTTTCAACTATTTTATGAACTCCCTGTATATTTATATTAAGTTCTTCAATTGTGGTAATTTTTGATATCTCCGGTTCCTAGGATATTTCCGTTCTAGCTCTGGTTCTTTCCCTGCATATAGTTTTTTTTGGTTGCCAATGCATGTACCCTTTTCTTGTGTTTTGGTTCTATTAGTCCATTACCTCCGTTCTTTGACCTCTTATAAAGCGCCATATTTCCTTTTGCAGACCATAAAAATCATGTTCAACTTCTGTCGAAAAGCGTTCCTAGCGATCATTTTTTATTTGTCTTATAATTGCATGTGTTTCGTGTTTTATTATTTTGTAATTATGGTATGCCTCTTGTGTTTTGGTTGACATGTATTTCAGGTAACCTTTTTGAAGTTATGCTTCTATAAGCGCGTTCTATGTTGGAAATTTGTACGGGAGTGAATCGGCAAAATCATTACATATGTAAGACATAGGTAAGAAAGAGGCAGAAGATTTTCTCTCTCTCAAAGCATTTCGAAAATTGTAAGTGTATTTAATATAACTAATTACCCAATATTTTTAGGTAAAGGTTATGGTTTAACAATTACACCCTTACCAGCTGGTCATATGATTGGAGGTACAATATGGAAAATAATGAAAATGGAAGAAGATATAATATATTGTAATGATTTCAATCATAAAAAAGAGCGACATTTAAATGGTTGTGAGCTCGATAGACTGCAAAAACCTTCCTTACTTATTACCGATGCATTTAATGCTACTTATCAACAAGCCAGAAGAAGGGCTAGAGATGAAAAACTAATGAGTAAGTCTATCATTAATTTTACTTAATTCTTAAAAATATTAATGAATTGTTTTTAACAAATTTGTAAATACTTTGTTCTTCCCTTGCTGGTGGTCAAAACAGTAAGGGAGGACAAAGTTTAAGTTTATTTTGATATTCGTCCCTCTTGAAATTCATGATAAACTGACTAGTTTATCATTATTATACAATATACCCTACTGATAATGTACTGATGATAATCTTATGAATCCTTTTAAAAAGCTAGGATTGTGGCTAAGAGAAGTGTATCATTATGCTTTCTTAAGATCAATGAATACCATATGAGCGTTTGTCTCTTTAATATGAAACAATAATTGCAATAATAATCTTGCCATTGTCAAGTCAGATTAGTTCTGCTTGTTCTTGATGCTCCACTTCTGTTCTTGATGTTCTGCATGCTCTGTTTAAATACCTTTTAGCGCTTCTTGTGATTGGTCCTGTACGCAGAGTGGGCGGGGCCTTCTTCACTATTTTAATTTCTACGTTTTTCTGCAGAATTGGTTTCCACGTATTTGGGAGTCTTTGGGCATCATCTCTGGTATTTAAATTTTTTGTATGTTTTTCGATCTGTATGGCTTCCCGGATTACACGTTTGGCCTTATTTTCGATGTTGGCTAGCATTGTTGTTCAATTTAAGTTTATTTTGTGTCCTGTGTTTATGGAATGTTGTGCTAGGGATGAAGTCTTCTCTTTTCTTTCGATGACGTTTCAATGTTCTCCACGTCTAACTTGTATCCTTCGATTTGTCTGTACGATTTATCGCAGTCCTCACACGGAATTCTGTATACACCTTGATTTTCCAATGCAACTTTCGTTTTTGCCCATGGTTATATGGTTGCGATTTTTCTGTCGGTGTTAAAAATAGTCTCTATTTTGTTTTTTCTTAGCACTGTGCTGATGTCTGTTGTACCCTTTACATAGGGCAGGAGAGTTTATCCGACTAGTTTTTCTTATTTTTCTGGATCTTTGCTTTTGTTTCGAGATTTCTGTGCCTTTTCAATCGTAGACATGGAGAAGTCATTTTTTCTTAGAGCTGTTTTGACTTTGTACATTTCTTCGTTCTTATGGTTCTCATCTGCCAGTTTCTCAGATCTTGTTATTAAGGTTTTTATTACCGAGTTTAATTGTGCAGGATGATGGTGTGAGTCTGCGTGTAAGTACCTGTCAGTATGGGTTGGTTTTCGGTATACTGTATGTCCTATGCTTCCGTCTTCTTTCTTAATAATTAACACATCTAGGAATGGAGGTTGTTGGTTATTCTCCCGTTCCAGGGTAAACTGTAATTTTAGATGCGCATATATATATATATATACAATATACATAAACAATGGTTTTCAAGAAAACCAGCATTTTACAACGCGGAGTCAAACCCGGAAAAATAGTGACAGCACATATAGCTCCGCGGAAACCTCAAAACAAACATATATATATAATATATATATATATATATATATATATATATATATATATATATATACAAACAAACAACACAGTTTATTAGGGTTGCAGTCAGAATATTGGCCGGGATGTTAAAAAAACACTCTTTTGACTTTTTGTCGAGCTTTCGGAATGGTTTTATTTCTTTTTCAAGACACTGTAATAAGACAAATATGTAAATATTTAAAAAAATATCACAATTCTTCAGTGTAACTTAGTAGTCATTGAGATTATTTGTATAAGCATTGACACTTTTAACACATTTATAACACACATTAAAATATACAATTATGGACAGAATACATTATAAAATTTTTAAAATTTATTGTAAAAATAGTAAAACTTAGTTGATGGCATGTTTTACTGGTGTATATTAACTCATACAGAGAATGGAAAGTAAAAACACTAATTAATATGTAATTAGGTTTATTCTGACTGCAACCCTAATAAACTGTGTTGTTTGTTTATATCGACTGCAACCCTAATAAACTGTGTTGTTTGTTTATATCGACAGTCACTAATATCCAGGATTTTGTATCTCTCTCTCTCTCTCTCTCTCTCTCTCTATATATATATATATATATATATATATATATATATATATACATATATATATATATACATATATATATATATATATATTATATATATATATATATACATATATATATATATATATATATATATACATATATATATATATATATATATACATATATATATACATATATATATATATATATATATATACATATATATATATATTACATATATATATATATACATATATATATATATATATATATATATATACATATATACATTATATATAATATATATATATATATATATATATATATATATATATATATATATATATATATATATATATATAAAACTTAGAGCTAAGATTAATATTATTACTAAAATTAATATTAAACTCACCAGTCTTCCGGGTTGAACCGCGTCGTAATCCATTTTGCCAAGCTTTCGGCATCCTCTTTGATGCCTTCTTCAGGGCTTCCGAGGTCTCAGTCTCCCGAGCCCCCAGACACTACTGCACTGTTCACTATTCACTTCACGATCACTACTACGGCTGGGAACAGGAGACATACATTTATACCGTCGATGATGGCGTAGCCTAGGTGGGGGTTGGGGTGGGGGTTGGCGCGAGAATTGGTGCTGGGGTTGGCGCGAACATTTCCGACTGTGGAATTTTGATTCGAGGATGGAGGGGGCGATATTTTCTTTATGAGAGGCCTCCATGTAGAAGGTAACCGTATGGCGTCATCTCTTTTATTAAGACAATTTGGCCTTTTTTCTATTTCTATGGCTTCTCGGATGATTCTTTCTTTATAGAAGCGGATGGGGGCTATGGTTCTGGAGTTTTCAAAATCGATTTTATGACCTGTTTGAAGATGATGTTGACCAAGGGCTGAAATTGAATCAGAATTGCGAACAGAAATGGAATGCTCATAAATCCTGTTTTGGATTCTACGGTTTGTTTGGCCTATATAGGATCGGGGACAGTCTGCACAAGGTATTTCATAAACTCCGTGTTGTTCATTTGGAATATTGTCTTTGATAGATCGGACAAGAGATGAAAGTTTTTGTTGGGGAGTAAATATTGTTTTTATTCCTCTTGGTTTCAGAATTCTGTCGATTTTGTCAGTGACACCTTTGACATAAGGAAGAAAAGCTTTCGTATGATAAGGGTCTGAGTCTTTGAGTTGAGGATGAGTGGGAGATTGATGTCTGCGAATGCTCCTATTGATGTGATTTTCGTGGTAACCGTTTTGGATTAGGGCTTGTTTTAAACAAGAGAGGAATCATCGGAAAGGCGTATTGATCTGGAGACCAAGGTGTTAATGACTGAATTGATTTGTGAAGGTAAATGGTGAGAGTTGGCATGCAAGTAACGATTGGTATGTGTGGGTTTTCGATAAACAGAGTAATGGAAACCTTGGGATTGGTTTTTCTTGATGAAAACATCGAGAAACGGTAGGGTGAATCAGTTTCCATCTCCATCGTGAACTGGATACTGGGATGTATACCATTCAGATGAGTTTGAAAAGACACTAAAGCATCCCTGCCATGGGGCCAAATGACGAATGTATCGTCAACATATCGTAGCCAACATGTGGGTTTGAGCATTGATGTGGATAGTGCTCGGGTCTCGAAGTCTTCCATAAAGATATTGGCAATTACTGGAGATAGAGGGGAGCCCATTGGGGCACCATTTATTTGTCTGTAGAATTTGTTTTGAAAGATGAAATAGGTGTTGGACATACAATGTTTAATGAGAGATAAGTGATCTTGTTGGATATTGTGTTTAGTTGTAAGAATGTTTAAAGTTTCATCTATTGGAATGTTTGTAAAGAGTGAGACAATATCGAAACTTACTAGAATGTCTGACGGTGATCATGTTCGTCCAACCCCAGCACCAATTCTCGCGCCAACCCCCACCCCAACCCCCACCTAGGCCACGCCATCATCGACGGTATAAATATATCAAAGAGGATGCCGAAAGCTTGGCAAAATGGATTACGACGCGGTTCAACCCGGAAGACTGGTGAGTTTAATATTAATTTTAGAAATAATATTAATCTTAGCTCTAAGTTTTATTGTACTAACCGCGGAAATCTTTCCGAACATATATATATATATATATATATATATATATATATATATATATATATATATATATATATAAGGCGGTACTGTGGACGAAGCACGAAGCTTTATATTAATCAACAAAATTGCTGTGTACTATTATCTCTACAATATCATAATATTGTCAATCAAATTTCTATTCAGCAGTAGTTTTGTAGGTGTAACTTTTTGGCCTTTTTTCATTTTTTATCGCATTCGTTAGTAAGATCATTTTTACGTTTCCTGTACAAAAAGTACCTAACGGTCACCCACTCGTTAGGTACACAAATGGACTCTTGCCCTGTGACTGTATAAAATATGAAAATGTTTTATTAATAACCCTTTTTATTACACTTTAATAGAATAGTCGAACTGATAATTGCCAAAATACAACATTGTATTTATATTTATACGAGATTATGAAAATATAAATAAATATCCTTTGATAGTAAATTTAATTATTATATAACCTTAATATGTTGAAAAATAATAATTGTATTTATATGAAATTATTTTAAAAAATTATAAAAATTTAAACAGATGATTCAATTTTGTTATCGGATGACCTTTATGACTTTTATTAAATTTTGACAATAGTTACGAATATAATCTTTTAGTGGCAGACATTCTTCTCATTTAAGGTCTATATTTTGTTAGTTATTTTTCATGCAGTTTTTAGTTTAAACGTTCTTAAAGTAAATATATAATGACTAGAAACGAATTTACACAAATACAAAACGTAAAATTACAACAAAATCAAATTTAAATAGCGCGAATAAAAGAAAGAATGGAACAGTGTACAAATATCCAGCACTTCAATGGATAACGTTTACTGCAAGAATGGCTTTGCTGGACCTCCACTTTCAAATTTGTTTCTGCTTGGTGACTTTTTAATTTCATGAGATACCTGTTTGACTGTACTGTGGCTCCAAGATATGTGAATTGGTTACTTTGTGACGGGTAGCTCGTTTAGACAGCAGAATCAGTAAAACACAGGTTTAAATTAAATAAAAATATATTCAAAATTAATAAATAACAAAATAAAATTAGATCGTAGGTAATATATACAATAAAAATTAAAACGCCAATCCTGGCAACGACGGCATCGACGGCGATATGACCCACTGTTTAATATCTGTGAAAAATAAAATACAATACATAAAATGTAAATAGCGATTACGGTGCGTTAATACACACAGATGGTAGGGAACGGGTCGAAGGAATAGAGATGTAACGGGCCAATCAACACTCGGTCCAGCGAGGAACGGATGGTGTTCAATCAGTACTTGGACACAGGAGAGAATAGATACCTCTTAGATCAATACTCCAAGACCTGGTACGGAACGGCCACTATAGTGCCCTTCGTAAGCTCAAAGGTGTAGTTGGTAATTTGGATCCTCCGTTGAACATTTTTTAGATTTTTAGCCACCAACAATTTGGTTGCGGCGCTATACTTCAGCTCGGGTACTAATTTGTGACGAGTAGCTCTTTTACAAAACAAACAATTAAATCAAAATACAATTAATGTTATAAAATTGAAACGGCTATTACGCGGCGGAGACAAGAAAGGACAGGTCATAGAAATAGAGATGGAACGGGCCGATCAACATTCGGTCCAGTGAGGAGCGGAAAGCGACTAATCAATGCAGGGAAGAATATGTCTGTCTCAGATCAATACCCCAAGACCGGGTACAGAACTATCACTAGATCAACACTCTTACAGAAGCAGTTGGCCTTCAGTCAATACCTTAGAGCCAGTTGAGTTGTTATCAGATCAACACTCTGACGGAAGTCCGGACGATTACCTCCAGTCAACACCCAGAGGCCCCATGGAGTTCCCACTAGATCAGCACGCTAGTGGAACCCTCTTGTGGCGTACGCTGTTTTATATCGTCATAGGCCTTCCATCTCATCTAGCACGCGTCGGTGGAAGAGGAACTTACGTACGAAGCGCTAACGGAACGGAGGCGATGTACATCGTTACAGTTTCCTAGTTCACTTGTCGCTTTGGTAAACTTTGTAAAACAGTGCACACATCATTAGATAATGCGAGAATTTGTGCCGATGTATTTAGAATAGTCTATTCCATTCAATCTAATATTTATCTTCCTGACTTCCTTTTCCAAGGCAAGAAATACTGGATATTAGTGACTGTCGATATAAACACAGGTTATTAGGGTTGCAGTCAGAATATTGGTCGGGATGTTAAAAAAACACTCTTTTGATTTTTTGTCTAGCTTTCGGAATGGTTTTATTCCTTTTTCAAGACACTGTAATAAGACAAATATGTAAATATTTAAAAAATATCACAATTCTTCAGTGTAACTTACTAGTCGCTGAGATTATTTATAAAAGCATTGACACTCAACATTGATAACACACATTAAAATAAAAAATCATGGACAAAATACATTCTAATTTTTTTTTCATTTGGGTAAAGATAGTAAAACTTAGTTTATGGCATATTTTATTGGTGTGTTTTAACTCATATGCTTAGAGAACAGAAAGTAAAACACTGTAATTAACATGTAATTAGGTGTACTTGATATTATGTTTCTTTCCAAGAAATACTAGAGGCCCATCTTGGATTTATTTTATTTTTGGTGTTTTTCTAGTAAATAACAATAAATGTTGCTTAGTTTATCTATGTCAGACTTTTTATTGAAAGTCTGACATAGATAAGATAGATAGATAGAGAAAAGTTATTTTATTTTGGCAAAGGAAAAGAACCATTCAAAACGTGTTTTTTTTAAATGTGTTTCATAAAATCTAGCACATCTTGCATCAATAAAAAGTCTGCCATAGATAAAGTAAACAACATTTATTGTTATTTACTAGAAAAACACCAACAATAAAATAAATATTTACCTGTACATAAATTATACCTGTATGTATAATATGTTGCATACCATTAAGACAGGTTTAAAAAGTATACTCACCCAAGATGGGCCTCTAGTATTTCTTGAAAAGAAAGATAATATCAAGTACACCTACTTACATGATAATTACAGTGTTTTTACTTTCTGTTCTCTATGCATATGAGTTAAAACACACCAGTAAAATATGCCATAAACTAAGTTTTACTATCTTTACCCAAATTTTAAAAATTTTAGAATGTATTTTGTCCATGATTTTATATTTTAATGTGTGTTATCAATGTTGAGTGTCAATGCTTTTATAAATAATCTCAACGATTAGTAAGTTACACTGAAGAATTGTGATATTTTTTAAATATGTACATATTTGTCCTATTACAGTGTCTTGAAAAAGGAATAAAACCATTCCGAAAGCTAGACAAACAGTCAAAAGAGTGTTTTTTTAATATCCCGGCCAATATTCTGACTGCAACCATAATAAACTGTGTTGTTTGGTTTTATCTATATATATATATATATATATATTATATATATATATATATATATATATATATATAATATATATATATATATAACTTATAAATCGTATGCTTTCGTTAACAATATGAAACATCTGCATGTTGTATGATATCGTATTTGAAACTTATTTCTTCAATAGACCCTATTTGTTGATAACTTAATGAAAGTACTTATATAAATTAGATACAATTTCAAAGAATAATAACATTTAACAATAATAACACTTAATAATAACAATAATAACATTTTTTAGATTATTTGTAAATTAGTTATTACTAATTATGCAACCGCAATAAGATGTAGCCAGTTAAAAAACTGGTTTTAATGTAGTATCTGATTTCTAACCAAAGTTTTAAAAATATATTGTACAAGCAAACTTTGAACACTGTCATAAACTTTATTTTTCAGTAACAGATTAATTTACACACTATATATTGTTACAGCTAATATTCTTCAAACTCTTCGTAACAATGGTAACGTACTTATAGCAGTAGACACGGCAGGCAGGGTTCTGGAGTTGGCTCACATGTTGGATCAGCTATGGCGTAACAAAGAATCTGGCCTGTTGGCTTACTCCTTAGCGTTCTTAAACAATGTCAGTTATAACGTTATAGAATTTGCCAAATCCCAAATAGAATGGATGAGTGATAAATTAATGAGAAGTTTTGAAGGCGCCAGAAATAATCCCTTTCAATTTAAGCACTTACAGTGGTGTCACAGTTTAGCAGAATTAAGTAAAGTTCCTAGTCCAAAGGTTGTTCTTGCAAGTTCACCCGATTTGGAAAGTGGATTCTCCAGAGAATTGTTCTTGCAGTGGTGTTCTAATTCCAACAACAGTATTATATTAACAACAAGGTATTTATAGTTTTAACAATTAATTTTAAGATTATACTTTAAAAATTTACTTCTATATAATTTTAAATAAAAAATTTAACTAGTTGAAAATGATAGTAATAAGTTAAACTGAGAAGACACATACAGTACATTCAACCAACTTACACCTCTAAGCGATTAATGGAATTCGCAGAAAACTTTGGTTGTAGTAAAAAACACGATAAACTGCACTGGAGTTTTCCATAATCTTTTTAATTACCTACTTACTTTGTTTAGAATATTTTTGCCTGTATTATCAATTAGAGATAATATGTATAAAATGAGGAGCAAAAATTCATGTCAAATTTTAAATATTATTGTTTATTTTGCTAATAATGAATGTATAAATATAATGTTTACCTGCTGTACAATTATTTTGTAAATAACATTAAAATAGTATACTTACTGATTATTTAAATTTATAAATCATCATCATCGTCACTAAATTTACTACCGATATCATTATGTAAATCTATAATCACTGGATTAATTTCACTAATTTTATTTTCCCGTATCCACCACTCTTCTATTAATTTTTCACATTTCACGAGAATCGGTCGCCTGGCCCGCTTGGCTATCTGACCGACTAATATAGAACCGATTATTATAATACTTTTTACATATACCCCAAATGTGTTCGATGGCGGTAACCGTAGTACTTGATGTCTATAACTTGATACAATTTGGTCAACTATATAAACTGTTGATTTTTCATTACTTTTCGAAATTTCCAGTAACCCTAATTTGAAGGCGTATTCCGGAAAATTGATATTATTTTTAACTAACCAATTTTTTATGCTCGGTACGTTCCACGACTGTTTTGGTTGTTTCTCCAAAATCTCCGAATGGTAAGGTGTATTATATAAAACTATAACTGATGGTTCACTCAGATTAGGTAACAGTTTCTCCTCAAGCCATTTAACAAACATATCTGCATTCATGTTTGCATGGTAATCAGCAGATTTTGCTTTGATACAAAATATTGCGAATTTCAAAATTTTTCTCCTTCAGGTAGTTTGTTAGGTTGTTTTCGTGATACTCAGTCACAGTCAGACGTTCTTGAGAATCTCTGACAGTCTTCATTATAGTTTTTAGTTTACTTTCAATTATCACGAGTGCGTCACAAAACGCGTTGATTATACATAATAATAACTTTAAAGATCCACCATTGCCTCTTTGCATGGTAAAGTATTTATGCACATTTACAATTAATTCATTAATATCAACTTCGTATAGGCATGATGGTCACTTGAAACTACACGTTTGAATTACAATATACTGAGTTTAAATCAATATGACAGAAACTTTCTTAACTATTGTGTTTTGAGAGGTAAAATATAATATAACCGCTTACAAAGATCCCAAACACATTAATCAAATTAGCCTAATGAGCATTAGGAATGCCGATTGTAATTTAATTATGCTTGATAAAACGTTTAGAAATAAATGGTTGGAAACCGTCCATAATCAAATTAAAATGTTCCCACAATTATTTTATTTTTAGTACTAGTAAGTATTTTTATTTGAAAATAAAAAGGTAGTATATTTACCAAAACTCTAACTTAACCCGTAATCGCTACCCGTAAACGGTACACTCTAAAAGACATATGGTCAATCTAACCATCACTATTTAAATTGACAGAATATTCTAGTTTACTCCGAAGTATTTTTTTAACAAAAATTAAAAGTGATATGTAAGTATAGCATTTTTCTATATAAAAAATCTTGTACGTCATTCAAGATTTACATCGTCAGAACCCCACAACGTTGTCAAAACATCAGAATAGTTAGTAAGTGAGGACTTTTTAAAATGTCAACTATTTGTCAAACTATTATATTAACAGTAAATACACTTAGTTTTAAGACTACTTCTTCTTAGAGTGCCGTCTCCCTACGGAGGTTGACAATCATAATGTCTATTTTTATTTTAGAACTTGCTGCTCTAAACAAATCAATCGATCTGCATTGATACCAATCACGTAGATTCTTTAACCATGAGTTCTGCATTCGGCCAACAGATCTTCTTCCTTGAATCTTTCCCTGTATTATGGGTCTCCAAATTTCATATTTTGGTCCCCTCATCACGTGGCTTAGGTATTCCAGTTTTCTGGTTTGTATAGTAGTGATTAGTTATGTTTCTTTACCAACCCTCTCCAGTACTTCTTTATTTGTAATTATATCAGTCCATGATATTTTCAATACTCTGCGGTATAACCAGAGTTCGAAGGCCTCGATTCTTTTTAAATTACATTTTTTTATTGTCCAAGTCTCAGCTCCATATATTGAAAATATATATCAGCGAATATAAATGCTGATCTGGCAATCTCTATTCGTCTGTTTATTTCTACAGTATGATCATTGGTTTCATTGATCAAAGTTCCCAAGTACTGCTATTTTTCTACTTGTTCTATCACGTTACCATTGATTGTCAATAAGTGATGTATATTTTGTGGTCTTTTGTAATTAGTATGTACTTCGTTTTTTTAGCGTTTATAATCATTCCCATCTCAGCACTATTCATACTCAAGCTTTCGATAAGATGTTGTAAATCCTTTATACTCGTTGCTATGATCACAGTGTCGCCTGCATATCATAAGTTGTTAATTAATTTTCCGTTAACGGTGACTCCCGCTTCGATATTATTGAGCGTGTTTTGGAAAATTTCTTCAGAATATAAGTTAAACAAAAGTGGCGATAAAGCACATCCCTGTCTAACTCATCTACAGATTCTCATTTCTTCTGAGTTGCAGTAGTCTTAAGACTACTGCAACTCAGACAGAAAACATTTTGATTCAAAATTATATATTCTAAATTTTAACCTTACCTCTTTTAGGGCTTTAATAGTAAAAACGTCCCGCCATTATTTCTTGTTCAAAATAATCTATCTTATATGAAAGTTTGTCAGCTTTCTACAGACTATTTATTTGTTTTGGGATCACAATACGCAACAATAATTAGTTTTTAAAGCTATTAATCTAAATTTAATATGTATTTATAAATACAATTTATTAATATATATATATATATATATATATATATATATAATATATATATTATATATATATTATGATCAAATTGTGTAAGAAGTCAAAACATAACCAAAATTCCTATTCTAAAAAAGCGGCAACACTTTAGACACTTTTGCCACACGCTTAACTGTCAATAAAATTTTAAGTATTTTCATATCAGTTGCGTACAATTGTCTAATATATTTAATTAAAATTATTATTTTGTGGAATATTAGACTTAAAGAGTTATTTCATAAAATTTATATTATTAATAATAACAAATGTTTTTGGTTATTTAATCAATATAATTCTAAAATTTTCAATATAATGACGATTACATTTTTCTGATTATTACACCATGTTGACGCCTATGAAAGATCGAGCAGTTCCATATGGGTTTCGTATTATTAGCTGTGTTAGGAAAAATTTGAACTCTAAGGTTTGATACTTTAGAGTGGAAATTTTAAATACAAGTGACGTCACTTTGTATAAGTCGTGACGTGGAACCGTTTTACTTTGAAAATGGTATAATTTGCATATCTACTTTAAATATAAAGTATGCTTAGCACGGTATTATTTGTTTTAGAAAAAAATTATTAAACAAGTCATCATCATCTTTGCTCTACAACCCTGGATGGGTCTTGGACTGTTCAAGATTTAGTCTTCATTCCCCCTATCTTTCGCCCTGGCTTTCCAAATTTCTGACCCCTAGATTCCTCAAGTCATCTTCGATTTGAGTTTTGAATCTAGATCTTGGCCTGCCTCTCTTCCTGGTTCCTACTGGCTCTTGATATAATATCTGTCTTTGGGAGTCTCCAGTGTCCATTCTTTCAGGTGTCCTAGCCACCTTAGTCTAATAATTTTAATAGACGGGACGATGTTGCATTTTTATAGCATATTAAACAAGTAGGTGAAAGAAATTTACGTTAAATAACATTATGCTGCAACAATACTATTTATTAAAAAAATGTAACAAAATATGTCAAACTATGAACAATGGGTTAATGACACATTTTCTGCGAATTCCGTTAATCATTTAGAGGTGTAAGTTGGTTGAATGTACTATAGTTATTATTTATTACACCGGTAAAATGGTAGAAAATACCATTTAACCTATTATAGACTCATTATATTCACCGATCACTGTATTCAACCTTCAAATTGCTTAAATTTAAAGAAAAATTTTCCACAGATGTTTTAGTGTAGTATCCAGCAGATTTAGTAAACTGAATTACAAGTTTTGTTGGATTGCATTACCAAAATAAAAAAATTATAAAACAAATACAACTTTGCTGAATCCTTATAGATTTGCACATTTAATAATAAAAGTTACTAAGAACAGCTCAAGATAGAGAGCAATTTGCTGTAGTTATAGCCAACATTCAGTAATCGAGAAGGCACCTAAGAAGAAGAAGAATAATAAAAGTTTCATGTCAGCCCTTTTATAGTTTACTGGATTATTCTTGTTAATTAATGTTTATTATAAACTATATTCATGAATAAATCTAGGAACTATCAATTGTTGAATCGTCATTACAGTTTTATTTTATTTATCTATAAATAGGACACTGGTACTTAACGTTATCAAAATGTGCAGTATATCAATATTCAGTTCAATATGAATCTGTGCACAAGGCGTCACAGATGCGTATTTTTTCGGTATTTCTTTTGATCGTTTCCGCTTAATATTGCGCGTTAAATAAATATCTACTTGTGTTGTGGGTAACGTTATGCGGAGAGGCGAATGATTTTTAATGATTATGAATTTACTTTCAGTGAGTCCGCTGTAAAAGGCAGTTGGTTTTGGTGTTGGTCCATGTTTGGAAATGGACTTTTGGAATTTTTCTTCAAAATTCGTAAATGATTCGTAAAATTCGTTTTTTGTTTTTTTTTTATGGGAAAATGTATAGTATTGTGGCAGTTAATGAAGTTAAGGGTTGGGATAATTAAGGAAGAGTCAGTCTAACTCCAGTT